TCAACTTTGTGCTTGTAAGACATTGCCTCCCAGTGGATGTTCCTTGCATGCAGTGGCTGCCAGAAGGATCAGATTTCAAGCCCAGGGTGACTTGCCAAGGCACCTTCTAACAAGCAGCTCTAGGTCTCCAGTGCAGTATTTACCGGCTCTTCCATTATTGAATTCAACTGGTTGCACGTTTCCAGGAAGGTAGACTTTCACCCTAGAGACCTAGGGTGAGACACCCCCTCTACTCATTCACAGAGAATCCTTGCTAGTAGCTGCTTTCTATGTCATGCCAGCAGATTAAGATAACCTTTTCTTACAGCTAAGGTTTCTGGTGGAGTACGCTAGAACCATCCTATCAAATCTTCACTGTATAGCTGGTAGCCTCATTCCAAGCTATTTTGGGGGTGGCCTGAACCAATTTGTTTTCAGGTTCATGTTGTTATTTCCAGATTGGGAGTCAGGAGATGAAGTTTTAATGCAGATCCATATCAAAACATGCACAAGGGAGTGGAGCTCTCTCGTGCAGCTACAATGTGGATTCAAAGATCAAGTCTCCCCCTCTGAAGGCAGGCATCTCCCTCCACACTTGGAAGAGAAAGATCCATAAGTTCCTACAGCTCCTGGGACACCTTTCCAAGGACAGGAATGCTGGCTTCGAGCTAAATCTAGTTGTTAATCCCAAGTAGGTTATAGACACGCAGTCAATGAGCTTTGCATACGTATGTTGTAATTTAATAAGTCTTATTCATCCAGGAGGCTCTTCTTCCATAGTGTAGAAACAACTCTTAGAAGCACTTCAACCAGATGCTATGTTCACATATCAGGGGAGATCAGATTCATATCTAGAAGTCAGTTAAAATTACTGTATACTTAATTTTTGCTGTACAGTAAAGCAAAGCAAAGCAAAGCGTGCTGCTTATATACCGCCCCATAGTGCTTCAAGCACTCTCTGGGCGGTTTACAAGTTAATTATGCAAGCTACACATTGCCCCCCACCCCCAGCAACCTGGGTACTCATTTTACCGACCTGGGAAGGATAGAAGGCTGAGTCAACCTTGAGCCGCTACCTGGGATTGAACCCGAGGTCGTGAGCACAGTTTTGGCTGCAGTACAGCCGTTTAACCACTGCACCACGAGGCTCTATTTAATTGCAAAACAGGCAAAAACCAGTCCTCATAAGTAGGCTTGCAGTGGTATGACAGACACAAATTGAGCAGTTTTGTATTTGCATGCTGGGATGGAATCAAGACCATCTCTACTGTGCATCTGTTTCCCAGTCATAAATTGCACTACTACCGTGTTTCTCCGAAAATAATATTAATATTAATTAATATTAATTTTTGCTCCAAAATGCATTAGGGCTTATTTTTCAGGGGATGTTTTATTTGTTTTCATGTACAAGAAATCTACATTTATTCAAATACAGTCACACCATTTTCTTTTGGTTGCTGCACAATGGTGGAGGGTGGGGTTTCACTTTAACTGGGGCTTATTTTTTGGGGTAGGGCTTATATTACGAGCATCCTGAAAAATCATACTAGGGCCTATTTTCAGGTTAGGTCTTATTTTCGGGGAAACGGTATTTGCAAGGAGCAAATATCCGGAAAAAAAGTAGGGATGGTGCTTCACAAACTTCTTTTTCATAAACTGCTATTGATTTGCTCACAATAGAAAGTGGGGCCTCATTTGAAGCAAACCAGTGCTCCACTCTTAGTAGCCACTGACACATAGTGGTGAAACTCAGTTACTGTAGTTTCACCACTCAGTTACCTTCACGGCGCCCTTCTGTTGAATCCAGACTTACCCACACTTCCAGGGTTTCATGTGGGGCCTCATTTGAAGCAAACCAGTGCTCCACTCTTAGTAGCCACTGACACATAGTGGTGAAACTCAGTTACTGTAGTTTCACCACTCAGTTACCTTCACGGCGCCCTTCTGCTGAATCCAGACTTAACCACACTTCCAGGGTTTCCTAGGCATAAAACACTCAGAAATCCTTTACCAGTCCACCTTGCTGGTGGTGAAAGGTTGGGGACCACTGGTGTAAAGCACTCAGAAATCCTATACCAGTCCGCCTTGCTGGTGGTGATCTGGGACTGTGCTACTTGCCCAAGGCCACACAGGCTGGCTGTTCTCCAGAAGGCTATACTGGGGAGTTGAATGCCCTTAGCCAAGTGTTTCAACCCCTTGAACTATCCAGCCAGCACTAAAATATCAGGATTCTCAGAACAAAACTGTTTTGCACTTGACTTCCCATGTAGTTCACGGTTGTTTGCGTTCCCTCAAATGTGTACAGCCCAAATGCTCTGCAATTGAGCTCCTAAAGACCTTTGTCCAGATTCATGTGCATGGATTCTGCCATGGATCCATCCATGACATTGGAAATGAAACAGAAGTGTGGCTCCCAACCTTGGGTCCCAAGATGTTCTTGGACTACAGCTCCCAGAAATCCTGGCCAGTCAAGCTTGTGGTGAAGACTTCTGGGAGTTTTAGTCCAAGAACACCCGGGACCAAAGGTTGGAAACCACTGGAACAGAATGAGACATTTAAGCTGCTTCTGAATCTATGCACAGTAAAACAGCATTACAGCCAGGCAGCCCCTTTGTGAAATCCATGCTTCTCAAATGAAGTTGGGGTGAAGAACATGTCTTGTCCAGAAATCTCTATGTGGATCCTCAAGGATCTTCTCCCAGAACAGACGACTCGTCTTGCTTCTTGGCCAGAACGTGGAAAAAGTTTTGTGGACCACAACTCTCAGAATCCTTGGTGACTCTCCTGGATTTTGAGAGCTTTGCCAAGCTCTGCTCTTAGCTAGAGTGGAAAGTAGAGCAGAAAGTCTCCAGTTACCTTGCATAAAATGTCAGCCCCCTCCCTTTTCCTTGTGCCTTATTCTAAGTCATTTGGCTTACATGTGTGGGTGAAGAAACAGGTTCCAGTAGGCTTGTAGTGGGGATCTGAACTTGTTCAGGGTTTGGTTTTAATAGTCCTCCAGCTATGAGTGGAAGTTGGTGCTGACTGGGGTCTGTACTTTGGCACAGAACAGTTAATGGACCGGCCATGACAGCTGGGAACTTGGCAAAGCTCCCTGCAAAAGCAAAGCTAGCAGAGTCTTACGATGTCTTCTTAAGCATCTCTCCCCCTCATTTTATCAGGTGGAAAGCGAAGATAAATCAAAGGATCAAAACCAGAAGGGATCGAAGGAGGTGCTTTCTTCCTCCTTCCCATTTTTAATCACAGCATGAGTTTTGTATCTAGAAGTCATGGAGCAGCAACGCTGGAGAGCTTCTGGATTCCCAGTGTGGTGTAAGTGGAGAAAGTGACAGACTAGGACTCCAGAAAACAGGGTTCAAATCCCCACTCGGCCATGGACACTCATGGGGGAGTGGAACTGGTAAGACCATCCCTTAAGTATCTCACTTGAAAGCCCTATTAGGGTCGCTCTATGTTGTTGGTTCTGACTTGATGGCACAGGACCCACACAGAGACCTTTTCTGATTGCCCAAGAGCAGCCAAAACACAAATCTCTGCTTTGGCAGAAAGATAAAACAGCTCCCTGAGAACCAAAGGACAGGCTGACATAAGAATGCAGGAAGGAGAAGTTGAAACTGGAGGAGAGAATTGTGTGGACCCCCCACTCACCCACTAACCCCACGTTAGCCAGAAGGATGTTTTTGCTGCATGTTTTCGAGAGACAGAAATCTCCAAAGTTGCGACTGTTTGAATCGAACAACTGCCTCTGGGATGCAATCTTTTTGTTTTGTTGTTCATAATAATACTATTTTATGGCCTTTCTATGAACAATGGTGTACATATGAAGGAGGAGAGGCCACAGGTTTATGAATCTAATCAGCTAGTTTCAGGTAATAATTCTCCAGATTATGGAGTCCATGAGAGTCAAATTAGACAATATGCTTAGCACATCTACAGAAGAGTTCCCAGAAGTGGTGAAATACATCTGTTTGTCATAGCATATTTTTTTCCCTCCCTTATCTTGTATTTAGTGTGCTTTGTTTTGGACACATCGTTTGGAGGGAAAACAGACTAATTGCAGGGAATACATATTCCTTTTAATGTCTAGTTTCACCCTTAGCCGTTCCAAGCTCTGAAAGCCAAGTTAGCTTACTTTTTGGAAATTGTTTTCTTGAACTGTCAGAATCAGCACAGACTTGTGCAAACATTTACCCATGCTGCCTGTTTTTGGCTTTCTGCTCCCTAGTTAAATTTGCAAACCACAAATTTGCATGGTGTTTTTGCATGGTGTTTTTCAGTTAGTCTGGGTAACTGATACTCTTTCTATGCCCAGTATGGCAGCTATGCCTCTGCCCATGAATATGATATGTGGGAACTCGGGTATCCCGTCTGGGCCAGGCAAGCAGGCAGGCAGGCACCTTGCTTCTCTGAGGTATTGCAATGAGGGTAAAGGTCAAGGAGGCCATCAGAGAAATGTGCCAAGAGTTATAGCCTGGCCACGGATTGCTTCTATTTTCATATTCTTATTATAAGGTCACACATTGGTTTCCTTTCCAAAGGGGTTGTTCGTGTCCAAGCAGCAAGAGCTAAAAACGTTTCCAAGTCATAAAAATCAAATCAAATCTTAATGAGATAGGAAAGAAATGTTCCTCACTCTCCGTGGAAAACTATGACTAGGCAACCATTTTGTGCCGTTACAAACTCCTAATTTAAACACTCCATTCTAACTAGAGCATTCAGCAGCTAAGTGTCATGTTTCACATCTGACCTTACAATCAATCACAACTTTTTTTTAGAACAGATGTTGCTTGAGGCTCGCTTCTGTTTGCCTTAGGTTTCTGAGCTTTCCAGGTACTCTGTGAGGTTCTGAAGGATTTTTCCCCCCAACCCTGAGGACTAGAAACTTGCAGTGTTGCCATCTCAGAGGAAAGCCTCAATGGCTGATTTTATCGTTCTCAGCCCAGTTAAAAAGTTGCACAGAAATATGCATGATCTGCACATCGTCATGATAATGAAGTAAACTGCAAAGGATTCAATTGGGCTTCCCCTCAAGAAAGTATATTCAGGATTGCAACCTAGTATAACAAGACTACAACATAAATCACATGATGTTTGCCTACATTGCCTAATACCTGCTCTTGTAGTCCTACCATGAGAAAATATTTAATTCTTCCTCAGATGTTACAATACTCAAACTCCCAACCTCTGGCGAGAAGATGCTATTATGACAGGTCACTTGGTTTGGCAAATTATTGACATTTATCACTGCACACACACGCAAGGAGTGGCAGCTAGGAACAGAGGAAAGCACTCCAGACTCCTTCAATAGACATCAGACCCCGAAGACTTTACGTCCCCAGACAGCGACCGTGGCTTCCATCTCCTATCTTCACTTTCTGGCTGCAAAGCCACTTCTTCTCAGCTGAACAGTTGGCACTGCTCACCGTCTCCTGGGTTAGATAAGCACATGGTCCATCTCCTTGGATTTCAAAGCTGCAAAGATTAAAAATCAGAAGGTGGGTTATATGGGAATCAATATAATTGATTTTAGTTGCATGCCTAACAGATGTGTCCAAATTAAAACACAGAGACCCTTAAACCCAAGTTTCTTGACTTTTAACAGAATGGCCCCTATTGGATTAAAAAAAAAAAAATCATGTCTCCCCTTAAAAACTGTTCTTCCCCAAGAAAGTTGTTTGGAATATCGCAATTAAAACAAACCAAAGAATTTGAAAATGCAAAGCAAAGCATCCAATCCACTGGGGATAAGATGATGTGCTAGTGGGTTGGGATTGGAAGAGGGGAAAATGCTTTCCCCTGAAATTTTTAGGGAGAGGAAGTCACACATCCTGGTCTATAAGCTGCCCCTGAGAAGATGCACCTTAAGAAGGCCATGTACAATCCCTCCTTCTATTTTTCAAATTAAAAATATTAATACTGAATATTGTTTTTAAACAATATGTCTCCTCCAAAATCCTGATCTAACACCACCTTAAAGAGGAAAACAAGGACAGTAGCGCACCTCGTATGACAGAATCAGAAAACCTTTTAAACCACACCAACCCCAAACAAGCATAGAATCATCCATCGGATATAATTCTCAGTGAAGTCCAGCTAAGGCTTGTGGAAAAAACCACAAGAAGAGCCTTATCTGGGGTGAGCCAAGTGCAGTTTCCGGACTGTACGCAGCTCCTAAGACTGTTTTTCCGTGCTCTGGATCCCACCCCCGACAAACATGTTGGGCCATACCCTGTTCATTTCTTCTCCTAGAAGCCTCCACAACCAGCAAATGTTGTATGACTCTGGGATGGTGTGTCTCCCCAGTGGGTCCTCCTGGGGCAGATAACGGTCCCCTGAACCTCTGGCCCTTCCCCATCCCTGCTCTCATGGAGGGTGAAATATATATCTGTAGAGAATTAAATTAGGGTTCTCTGGCCACAACTGAACAGAATCTGTTGCAGGATCTCTGCAATGTCTAGCTGGTCAAAAGTGGGATGTTCTGGAGTGACTCATCAGATGACCTTCAATAGGGCTGGGAAACGCCAGATCCTTTTAACTGGAAGGGCTGGACATTGAAGCTGGCACCACCTATATTATGGAGTGCAAACAAGTCCCCCTTCAGATGTTGTTGGATGGTGTCCAAGAAGCCTTCACCACCAACTGTGCTGGCTGGGGTTTCTGGGAGTTGCAGTTCAAAAACATCAGAGTAACAAAGGTTAAGAACCATTGATCTATATTATGGAGTGCAAATAAGTCTCCCTTCAGAGGTTGTTGGATGGTGTCCATGTCCAGAATAGCCAACAGTCAAGGATGATGCGAGCTACAATCCACCAATATCTGGAGGAGTAAATCCATCCAGTCCTGCCTGTATCACTGAGCTGTGATTTTTCCCCCCTTAGGATGACCTGTGAATATGGTTCTTTTGCCCGAAAAAAAACAGATGAGAATCTGCCCTAAGTAAAGGACATTAAAAAGAAAAACCCTCACAGGTTGTTAAACACGGTCCCGTCAGTCCATTTCCACCTGTCATCTGATTCTCTGAGGAGGCCAACCCAATGGTTGAAGGGTCCTTTGTCTTTCAGTGCAATGTTCTAATTTTAAAAAAGAGAGAAAGAGTTGGTGTTTAAGGATTGCCAACAAACCTCATTCAAAACAACCTGGTAGTTGCCTGGTTTTGATTCCTCCACAGTTTCTGGACTTACTGCTGAGAAACTGGGCAAGAGCAGCTACAGAGCCTGTTTTGGGGCACAGCTCAAGAGATGCCAACATTCCTTTTCCCACCAGATGTGCTAACAGCAGCTTTGGGTACAGGGTATGGAAAAGTTTTTTTTTTCATAAAGTACATCCCCCAGAATTCCCCCTTAGTATGACCAGTGGCAGATTCCAGGACCTGCAGTCTGAAAAACAAACTTTTACAAGGTGTCCTGAGGATCAAGCATTAAAGTTTTCATTAATGGCTCTTCTCCTTCTGGAGCACATAGTAACTATATGGTGTTGCAGCTCATAGGAGTTACTGGGAGATGCAGTCCAGAAAAGTAACTCTACCAAGCTGTTGTTCCAGGTCTTGCCCCCATCCAGATACGAGAATAACTGAAATCAAAAGTTGACAACCTGTATACAGTAATAAAAACAGCACCTCAAGGAACACAAGATAAGCTACTGTGGCCAGTATTTTTTTTTGTATTAACCAAATGCAAGCCCTTTAAAGCAGTGGTCCCCAACCTTGGGCCTCCAGATGTTCTTGGACTTCAACTCCCAGAAATCCTGGCCAGAAGAGGTGGTGGTGGTGTAGGCTTCTGGGAGTTGTAGTCCAAGAACATCTGGAGGCCCAAGGTTGCAGACCACTGCTTTAAAGCACTAACAATGTGCCTTGTTTACTCAGAAGTAACTTTCAAATTGCCTAGCAAGTTCTGTTCTCTAGGAAAATGTGTTTAAGATTGGAGCCTCGAGTGAGGTTGCCTTACTATAAAAAGAGGAGCATCTACATTTCTTGGCAGATTTGGGATACCATTATGGATGGCACACTAGAACCCTAAAAGATCCAATTCACAGGACGTCTTCTGCCATGGAGTTCTGGACAAGCGCTGTTGAATTAAACAGATGCTGCACATGAGCACAGCAGCACTATTTTACTCTGTTATTTTATGAATCATTTTGGATAGAAATTCACCTTTGTCTCCTGGAACTGCCTTTCTCTGAAAAGAATTCAAACAGAGAATAGAACTGGAGCCAAATTTTGTTCCACTGGCCTTATAAAAGAGCTTTGCCAGGTCAGCCGTTTCCCATTCCCTGAGATTTCAGGGTCAAAACATTAAAACACGGGTTGGGCCCTTGTGATGCCACAGGGGGGTGTATTTTTGTGTAACAACTGCCTGTGTGCATGCGCGCATGTGAGTGTGTCTGTGTGTGCATGCACATGTGCGATGAAAGAGAGAGGGAGACAATGAGGATTTCCTGCACTATTTCCTGAACAAATACTATGTGCATGCCCCCACATCCCTTGACAATGAGCCACTGAACGCTAATGCCAGAAGTGAATGGGAAGGAAATAGGTGTCCAGCCATGGTGTAGTGAAACCAGGGTTTACAGGGTCAGACACCTGGGACTTTCCCAGTAGTAGGAACTATGATGTCATCTATCACTCTCCCTTAGACCTCTCTGCTTCCTCTCAGCTTAGCTGCAATCCTCATAGTAGCTAGGAGGGAAACAGACATTCCCAGGAATAAGCAAGCATCTTTGCTGTGTTTTTTTGGTTGGTTTGCTCTTGGACAAGCTGTTAACAGCCATTAACTTTACAAAACACCTACCTCTTGTTTGTTAATATGGACAAATGCAGGTGTCTGCTTGTTTGGAGTCTCCTTACTTGGCAGGTAGAGTTATGGGGAACTGAGTGCCCCTGCATTTCCAAATTTACTATGACACTGCTGGTGGCCAGGCATTGAAGCCACAACACACAACAAAATCAAAAATTGTCCTCCTCTTATACTGCTTATTCAGAGATTTGTCTTGCTGCCTGGAGACCCAAAGAAGCATTCCCTGAGACATCAGCCAGTGGCTCTGGAACTGGTGAGCCTGCTCTTAAGACTAGGATTGGAAACTTCAATAGGATCTGGATCTGTGCTAGGTCCACAGTTCGATATCCTGTGTTTCTACAGCTTTAGCTGGAAGACTTCTCTCAGTCTTCCAACTGCCTTTCCATTTGTTGTTCAGGGTGCTAGAAAGTAGCAATATTTATGGAGCCATTTTGTGGAACATTATGTACAGTATCTGTAAATTAGAAGGCAAGAGAAAACTCTTTTGCTCTATTTTCAAAGAAAGACAACAATTCTTAGAGAGATCTTCATGAGAAAGCAGAATTATATTTTATGAAGTACAGTAGGACCCCCATATCCACTGGGGATTGGTTCCAAGACCCCCATGGATACTGAAAACTGTGGATAATAGTGAACATAGACAGACAGACAGACAGACAGATAGCAGAAAAGAAAGAAAAACAGAAAAAAACTATTTTCACATGCATTACCACTAGAGGGTGCCAGGGACTGTGCAATGTAACGATAGATAGATAGATAGATAGATAGCAGAAAGGAAAGAAAAACAGAAAAAAACTATTTTCACATGCATTACCACTAGAGGGTGCCAGGGACTGTGCTATGTATCCTTCACTAACACATATTCATAGCATAGTCTCTGACTCCATCTAGTGGTCAGTGCTGGTAATACATGTGAAAATAGTTTTTCCTGGCTTTTTTTCTTTTAATATTTTTAATATTTTCAGACCGTGGATAAGTGAATCTGTGGATAACTTTCCTGTGGAAAAGGGGGTCCCACTGTACTATTTTTACATGCTAAAGATGTTGGAAGTGGAGTGCTGTACAAAAGGGAGCTTGCACAAACTCTTTCCTGCAGCACATACACACAAGCAAAAGGCATATGGGAAGATATTTTGCAAAGTGGGGGGAAAATTTAATTTACCTCTCCCAAAATGGCCCTATACTTTCTGGAGGAACTTGGGGGGTTGTAACCCTCCCCAAAGTAATTTTCCTTGTTTCGACATTGCAGTAGTTCATGAGGTAACAAAAGAGAAATCTGAAATTAACTGAACCTGCAGCCACGTCAGATGGTGTGCGGATCCTTCTCTTACCAGTTTCTCTATGTTTTCAATCACGGCCAAGGAGGCACCAAGGGAGGAACAGTAGTGCTGGCCAGCATCCCAGCCCCCTTCCGCTTCCGGAGCATGATAGCAGTTCCCTTGGTTCATGACCCAGTCAGGTGGACAGCAAGGGGACATGGTGATAGCAGCTGCAGCTGGAAGATTAGGTTTGGCCTCTAAAACAAAGAGAATCAGTAGGGTCAGAATCAAGGATTGGCATGAGCAGGCACCTGCCAAGGGACCATAACTGGCAGCCACTGGCAAGTTCTTTTCTGGTTCCCACTCTCCCTC